ATCACTTCACTGATCTTGGAAGTTTTATCAACCTAGATGTTTAGTGTCTGACAATATTTTAACACAGATTTAGAAATCTCAATTGGCTTTAGTCCAAAGTTTTACTTAAAACTACCAATCAGTCTATTAAATAGACGACACACAACACATCATTGTAACAACTTCCTCTAAATGTCAATGACTTCCTTCTACTATTATTGTTTGACTAGCATAAGACTAGTTGATAGAATAACATATTCATTTCATTCAATTAAAAGAAAACCATAAAAATAGAGAGAAAAAAAAACAATAATTTTCACAATAAATCATTCTATAAAATAATAAATATACTGGATAAAGTTGTCCATTTTCAGTGCATAACAATGAAACAATACAACTGATCATTCTATTTACTTATTTATTTATATAAATGGATGTAAAACAACAATGAATAAATAGCATCATTGTAAGAATGGATAAGTTAAAAAGTTAAGTCATTTCTATCTTATTTTAGATTTATAAAAAGAAATAAGAACAAGAACGACATAGTACAAAGACACAAAACAGATACTGATATCTATTGAACTTCAATAAATAAGAAGAAAGCGTGCAGCGTATCAAATGATGAAAATGGTTTATAAACTCCCTTTTGTTTTAATATTCTTTTTCCATTTATCTATCACTTTCATATAAAGACAGAGTATTTAGAACACTAAAAACATAAATTACACAATGGAATTCTGTATACCTGGTTCAAAAGGTTAAAAAACAAAACATACAATGACCGATCGTTTATATCTTATTATTAAGTGGTATATGAGTAGATTGGAAGAAAGCTAGGGGCGGCCAGATCAAAACATGGTACAAGTCCATGATGTTACTGACAAGTGGTCTGAGTCATGTTGATAGGTATAGACTACTTGGTTGGGGACCGCGAGATGATAGCAACCGATGGTTAGAGACCCTGAATGACATGGCTCAAAATCGTTTGCAATGGCGCAGGTGCATCCACTCTTTGTGTTCTGTAAAATTCTAATCTTCTGAATTCTTCTTGTCTCTTTTTTTTCTCTTTTTAAATTTATTTCACTGAATTATACTCCTTAAATAACATCTCCAAACCCTAATCTTACACTCTTGCTACCTCTACCACTACGGGATTTGGATCGACAACTGCATCTCTGTGTTAAGGTGGTGTGGCAACTCGAACTGATGTACGTACGTACGAAGTTCTACGTTGTTACTGACTGACTGGAGGAGAAAATTTGGGGTAATTGTAAGAAAATTGATTGAATAAAACATAAACTCTATGTTGCATTTATAAAAGATAATTGTCATTATCAGTAATATATACATATACAAAAGATTATTTGGAAGTTTGCCCATACGAAGTAGTATGAGTAAAATAGACAATTATATGACTAGTAAATGTTGTTTTTAAATAACTTGTAATCACCTTAAAGGATACATTTATCCATTCTGATAATGAAAAAAATATTTTGATCTTTTCTAAATTTCTATTGTTGATAACATCATTGTTTATAAAGTAGATAATTCGTTTTATAAATAAATCAGATCATGTTCATCAAGGATCGATGGCAGGTAGAGTGGTATTAGCAATTATAGGGTACTGAACAGTAGTTTTGTTCTAGTATGGAACTCCTGAGCGATGTTCCTCCATGAACCTATTACAAGAAATCGAACCCATAAAATTCGGTCTTAATTTTATCGGAGAAATCTTGTAGAAAGTGCTTTTATTTCGTAGGTTATATTCATCACAGATTGATCCCTGGTAAGTTGTGGATGCTCATTGTTCAGGAGCCCTTTACTAGGACAAAACAAGTGTTCACTACTTCTTAGTTTTCAATTGTTGTCTAAATAAGATCAGTTCCTGATGTAAACTATGAGTTTTAAATAAACTATTACACATATGAATTATCGCTAAAAAGTTTAACACAATGTATATAGAAATAATTACCGCTAGTGTATAAATGATTATACATTAGCAATGATTACATCTGTACTACTAGTGGATTTCACAAATACATTTGTTTATTTTCTTCGCTTACAACTTAAAAATGAATCGCATTTTGAATCAATTGTTAGACTAAAAAAGTCGAAATGATGATAAGAATTGGAGCAAAACTTATAATCATAAACCTCATTTTAATAGTATCAGCTTTAAAAAAGTCTATCCAAAACTGAGTTAATCCTATTATATTGACTATGATTTTTAAAAAAAGATTGAAATTAAACAACTCCCACTTGAGAAATCCAGTTAGCTCAACGACACATATACTATATTACATTGAGATTTTAAAAAAACGAAGGATTTATTCGACAGTATGGGAACATATAGAAAATAGTCAGTACGTAGTTGTGGGGATTGTTAAGTTTTATTTGAGATCACGATCAATCAATCAATCCTAAACTCGAACCCAGGACCTTCGGTCTCAGTTCATCACTTCAATTAAAACATAACGATCTCAATAACTCTATACTAGTAATCATATGTTCACTAGTAACTGGTTTCAAGAGATATTTTCTGAAGTTCTAGTGAGAAACCGTGACCAGTGGAGTCCAACAACACCAAGTGTGAGGTAGTTATCCACCGAAGACAATAGAAAATGGTCACGTATTATTACAGATTGGTTGAAGTCATATACTAACACTGTTCGATTCCGACTCAGTGGTCTAGAAGTTAAGCGTTCACGCGAGACCAAAGGTTTTGGGTTCGTGTCCTGCGTGCAGGGTCGTGTATGTGCGTTGCTGAGGAGTTCCATACTAGAACAAAACGGGATTCCAATGCTCTCAAGTTTTCGGAAGTGCTCTAACACTGGTCGGTACATGATCTCAATGTGGAAAATATACCAGACATAAGTAAACTGTTTAAACATTAACTTGTTGGTTTGAAAGAATTCAGACCTTTTTGATTTTCAATAACGCACAAGTTTGTCTTTTTCTACGCCTCTCTCTTGAGAAGTAGTCCAAAAAGTAACATGCAGTTGAAAATCACATTGTCTAAGTGGAACATGAGAGCTGCAATATTTATTCCAAGTAGAAATCGACTAGGCTGTGAAAAATGGAAATGACTTCCATTATTATAAAACTTAGCCTCATATTCAACCTCTCACAGAAATAACACTAAATACATCTATGGTAACATATAAGCAAAGGTTTCTTATAGATAGAACCGATTTAGAGTCTTATACTAACTAATCAATAAGCATGAACTCATTCCGGTTGGTAGAGGGCATAAAAATAGCTTAAACCCAATTTAATTAAAAATCTACATCATAATTTCAACTAATAGTGATCATTAGATGTAAAATAGATTGCTCAAGTTACTTATGACTTAAAAAATATATCCAAGAAAGAAAACTATTGATAATAAACTGTCAAAGTACTAAGACGTAGCAAAGTTGGATGACGTATTTTAAAAAACATTTCTTTATGTATGTTCAATATTCTCTGTCAGGACAGTGAATGAAATACGACAGTCAAACCGACAATTTCTTAGTGATGTTTTGTAGAAACAAGTTATCTTACTTGAAAAGAAGTTAAAATTTATGAAATATGTAAACGATGAAACAAATCAACAGATAATGATGATGCTTTAATGAGGATTTTCATTAAGAGACGCTCTTAAGGATCACTATTCAAGCTAACTCAAATTCTTTATGAATGGTCATTGTATAAAAAAGTAAGTTTATTTTATTTATTTATTTAAACATATAAACATTGGTACAAGGAGGCACCAAATACATATGCGCCACATAAATCATCCGATTTTTGTGAGGGCTGGAATACTGCTCAGGTGCCCAAACCGAAGCAAGTGGTTTTCTTAGGGGACCACACCCCGAGCCTTTGACATAAAGGTCTAACCCACAAGGCAGCGGAGTAACGTAAAGAGACGCAGTTCTACGGTAGCCGGTGATCAACAATAGGTTCATACGCCATTTGTTTCCTTAGGATCCTAAAGCCCATGTGCACCATTGGATTGGAATAAGTGTTTTCCAACTCCCGTAGGTGGATTCTCCATATTCATTAGGTAAGCTTCAACATTTCACTTTATGAAGCAAATATAATTTTGTCAAAAGTACACATAATCACGTTTTTATTAAGTCTTTAAAGTCAACAATTAATCAAGAACCTGAATAAATTAATTTAGTGAGAATCAAACTGTTTCGGGGTTGCAATTAATGCCTACTATGGTCTACCAATTATTAATCCTTCTTTGGCATGAACATAGCATTTGACTCAAAACGCCTAATCATCTTACTCAGTAAAGAGTGATAAATTTTATACTCTGAGGTACATAGCCGTGTACAGGTTTATACAGAATTGTTACATAAGGTGATGATAAAAACTACTAAAGACTGGGCAAAAAAGTTTGTAAACCAACGTTAAATCCCGAGTCTGTTTTATGAGCTATACACAGTTGAAGTTATAAATGAAGGACCATCTAAAACATATCATTTTATTGGAGAGCTATGATCTTTAGAAGTGAGGCAGATACTTAGCGATAACATTGACTCTACATATTAAATTGGCCACTGCCTGATAATATGTACCTTCAGGTCATGAGTTTCAATTCCATGTGAGGTCGTAGATGCGCTGTACTAACACACAAGAGACTCCTATTTCCATCTAACCTTGTTTATTTGTAACATAATTACGTTCCTCTTCAACCGTGTTTTGATTTGGGAAATTGTCGAGTGAAGCAGCGTCCAAGAATTCTAAGCAATAAGAGTAGATGGGTTGTAATAAGCGAATTCCTAACAATGGAGACGAAAATGGGGTGTTAATGGTGTTAACATTTGCAAATAACATCAACGAACAACATAATCATTATGATAAAATATTCAATAACCCAGATCAGAAATCCTGCTATAATGGAGTAAAGTTGAAACAATCAACAGCGTTTATCAAAAAAATCAAAATATTTTGAAAGAATAGTGTTAAGAAAAAATTCACAATAGAATAGTGACAGAGAGAGAAACAAAAACAAAGAATGAACTAACTTGTAATTGGAGCTTCTAATTCAAGCATAGTTTTTTCTGATTTTAAAATGGCTGAACAATCATTAATAATTCTTAGTATTGCTTCTTCTGTCAGTCGTCCTTCAGAAATTAAATGTGGTCCAATTACATCCAGTTGAGGACGACCCTTAGAATCGAACACCGTACTTGAAGGCATTAATTTGCTCGGAGGAGAAGGTACACCTATCACACACAAAAAAATAATAATTAAATAAAAGAAAGAAACATTAATGAGTAAGCAAATTGACTATGTAAAGACTAAACGATCCACAAAAAACCATCCACATAACCGTAAATGACTTAAATACAGAAACAATAAATCTCCTGCTAACGACTAAACATTGCTCGTATAACCTAGGACCATCGAGTAAGTAACGCGGTTGTTAGGAAACGGGTACTAGGTAAGGACGGCAAATCCATTGATGACGTAGTGAAACTTCATCAGTGAAAATGGCTGGGACACGTGTTACGTATGCCCAACGACCGACTGCCTCGATGTGCGATGTTCAATGGTATAGAAGTAGGTTGGAAGAAAGCTAGGGGCGGCCAGATCAAAACATTGCACAAGTCCATGAAGTTACTGACAGGTGGACTGAGCCATGTTGGTAGATGTAGACTACGTGGCTAGGGACCGCGAGATGAGAGCAACCGATGGTTAGAGACCCTGAGTGACATGGCTCAAAATCGCTTGCAATGGCGCAGGCGCATTCATTCTTTGTGTTCTTCCAAATTCTAATCTTCTGAATTCTTCATGTCCCTTTTTTCCTCTTTCCAAATTTATTTCACTGTATTATACTCCTTGAATAACATCTTGAAACCCTAATGTTTTCGATTACTGCTTATACTCTTACTACCTCTACCACTACAGGATTTGAATCGACAACTTCATCAATGTGCTAATGTGGTATGGCAACTCAAACCGATGTACGTACGTACGAAGTTCTACGTTGTTACTGACTGACTGATTGGTGACGACTATGTATTATATACATATATATAAATATATTGCGTAAAATGCAATAACCAATAATACAATTATTTGTCATGGGTCGGAAATAACTATAGGACTGAAGTAAAGCACTGAACATCTATTTCACCATAGTACGAAACTTCTCAGAAAAGAGCAAACATGACATTAACAAAGACCAGAGCTAACAAGTTCATGTTTAGTGTTGAGCGCTGAACCATTATATCATCTAGTTGAAATTCAATAGTCAATGTTTCTGATTTTAATCAATTTGTGATATCGATGACGCTTATAAATAACTCTTTAACTCGAAATATTTTATAAACTCCATTAAACACGACATCATTATAAAACTTTTAAGATCACTTACAAAAAAAAGTCAACAAAACAATTGAACAAATGATTATTATTAAACTAAAAAGTTTATCAAAACTATTAAATCTAAGATGGATAAGACTTGAAGGTGTTATGTTCCATCGTTACCATACCCTATAAGTGTGTATATTGATGAAAAGTAACAAAAAAACTTAATTCACTTGATATTGTTTTATTTGAATCTTCCCATTGATGTTTTAGGACTGAAGTTGATCAGTCTCTTATTGGCATATGTGCATACTGTGCGTATGTCTCGATATTGCCTTAATTTACAAGCATTATAAGCAGAGATGGATAGTGGCTAGCAGTGGAATCCAGGACGCGCGTTTCGTCCTGTTTGGGACTCGTCAGCTGGATGTACCTGCATCTCAGAGTTGATGTTCACTGTGGGACTCGAACTCAGTACCGTTCGCTTCAAACGCCATCGCGTTATCCACTTAGCTACTGAGTCCTGATAGCCACTTGCTTGTGCAATAGGGTGAAGTTTAATTCACTTGATATTGTTTTTACTTGAATCGAGGCATACGCACAATATGCACATATGCCAATAAGAGACTGATCAACTTCAGTCCTAAAACATCAATGGAAAAAAAAACTTAAGATAAAATGATTGTTCAATTCTTTCTGGTCTTCAACGGTTATTACTATAATAGACGTTGATTCTTTGAAATTCAATTAGTCTTTATAAATCTTTTAATCAATTTCTAAATTACATACATATGGATAATAACAATTAAACTTAAATTGAGTTAACTGTTTGATATAAAACGTTTTCAGTATTTACTTCTCATAGAATAAGTTTACTTAACAGTACATTACATACATTGATACATAAAGCACTGAACAAGGGGATACAATTTCACTTTGTTCAACCAAAAAAACAACCTAATTTCCCGAAATGTTAAAATCACTGGCTATTTACCTAAGTTTCTGTAACAAGAGTATTTTTAAAAGCAAAAAAAACCCAGGAATTCATTCAAATCTATAATGAAGAGTTTTGACCATTTCTTTTATCTAGCTTAAAGAAATATATGTATAGATATCGATCAAATGAAGAAAAAGAAATAGGATAATTCACGTGCACATACATATAATTCAGATCTAGGTTCTAGTTAGTTGACAATTCACTTTGCATTTTCTATAATATTACATAAATATAGGTATATGTCCATAGAGGCACCTACGTTTTCTACGCCTCCACACCCTACAAAAACATAGAAATATAAACAATATACCCTATTTCATTTATCACTAAACACCATATTCTTAAGACCTGATAAATTATGAAAAGGATCACTAACACTTTAGTGTAAACTTCAAGAAGTAGAAAAAAGAAGTTTCTAAAACGGTACAACTAAAACAATTGCATTATTATTGGGTTCTTTATATATTTTTTTAAGGAGAAAAAACAATGGATCAACAAAGATAAGCATGAATACATGCACATATAGACTATCATTATATAATTATATGTTTAATCATTTTACCCAGGGTTGATTAAGGCAGCAAAAATAAAACAGAGAGAAGAAAAGAATTGAACAGAAGAAGTAAATATGTATTGATGTTTCATGTAAAATGAAGTCGTTCGCATGCATATATATGCACTTACACACATATAGAGAAAGAGAAAGACATTCTAATTGACTTTTTTCCGGAATGAAAACGACGCATTGTAAGAAAAGTCATATGTATAAGAAACAACAGAGAACAAGGTAAAATAAAAAATAGAAATGAACAAAGTTTTATTACGTAATCTTTTAACATGGAATAAAATACCTGTTCGTATTTCTACTGCTACTACTGCCACTATTTTTTTTTCAGAATATAAAGGATAGTTGCCATCACGAGATATATTGAGTAAATACAAAACATAATGAAGTAGTGAGTAGCTCAGGGGTCAAGGCACTCAAATTTCAAACAATATGCATCAGGTTTGAACCCTGCTCCGCCTACTCTGATTTGAGTAATTAAGTAAAATATTACTCATTAGCTATTATCATGCTTAAGTTGTGTCTCACAGACGATTGCACAAATCTATACTTGATAAATGAGCTAAAAATAAATTAGTAAATAAGAACACAACTACAATAGAATGAATATAATGTGATCGATTCGGGCTAATGAGGCATTACATATTAAGAAAAAATAATCCACAGTAAGCTTTATAATGGTATACAGATTATAATATAACTCATAGATACCATTGATTAAATGGTTTTAAGATGGAATATTTTATTTGGTTTACAGTACGATATAAATCTAAAAACAGAGGCTCACTACAAATCACTGATAGTTTACATTGAATCAAGGAAGTGACTAGAGATATAAATCAGCCAGTCAGTCAGATATACGCAATGTAGAACCCGACACATATTTTCATTAAATCAAGATGGCACACTAAATGCTCATAATGAGATGAAATTATCAAGAAAAATCCCAGGGTAGTAGAAGTAGTAATATTGTTTTAGATGATACTAGCAAGATTCATTGTAATTAGTATGCAGCGGAGTGTCATTAGGGGGTTGCTGCAGTAAATAGCCAAGGACAAGAGTCTCAGGAAACAAATAACACGACAAGTTCGAAATACTTTTGAAACTATAAGAGGGGTTAAAAAAGACAATCTAGAACCAGCTTGGGTTGCGGAACAAATAAAAGATGGAAATGCAAGATTGAAGGCTAAGTAAATGCTTCATGAACAATGTGTTCGCAGCTGGATTTAGCTTTTTCGTAAATTACAGTGGTAGAAGTAACCAAAAAGATAAGTTATAGATAACATGATTCGAGAAGCATGAATTTGTGAGATGAGAAAATGATGGACAAACAGTGAATGCATTAGAACCCAGTGTGACCAATTCTGAACAATAGTGCACAACGTCTTCAACCACTGGTTAAGACAGTAGAACGAACACAAACCAGATTGTAAGAACACACCAACAGGGTTCAACCCAAATGTTAATGACCTCATGAACAGACACAACATCTGAGTTCATTTGCCTTTGTTTTTCTTTAAACTCACTCATAAACAGTAGTTGGGCGTAGATAATACATGTTCCTATGATATAAAAATAAAGTTTCAATTAACTGACATAACAATAACACACCCATTGCATGATTTAAACGATCTGATCACTATCTTTTGAGACAATGTGTGTGATACAGAAAGATCGCGACCATGTGATAAAAATGTCAAAATAATAAACTTGGATAAATGGAAGTAATAAGAATAATTTAGGCAAATGAAAGACAATGATTAGAAATAAAAACGGAAATGAACACAGAAAATAATAGTAGCATATGTAGCAGAGGTAAATTGACAAATAAATCCCTCTCTCTTAATTGGATTACTTTGAAATAAATTACAACTACCACTATTACTGATATTACTTACTTATTCGTGTAAATGATCATTTTAGGCAGGAATAAATTGATAAGTAGGCGCTTTATGAAGAGAACAGAAAAAGAGAGGCAGTGTTGAATACATATTGATTGACTGATTTCAAATGGAACATCATAAAATATGAAAGCTATTTAGCTACTGCAATCCATACATTGTAATTTTACTAAAATTTATCGTATAACTAATGATATTGTGTTGCATGCTACTTATGCTGGCAAGTATAAGTAGTATGTAGCATCAACAGGAAGTGAAATGCCTGGCAGCAGAAGATTAAAATGAAGAGAATAGGAAGGAAATTGGAGCGCAATCGAAATAATAACAGAATTAGAGGAACAATGAAGTATGTAAAGGACAATACAAAGATGTGCAAATGATGTATTTAAGGTATGATTTTCATATATTACGAAGGTACTCTGTAATTTTGCATTTAACATTAAAATAGTC